GCGGAGATATAATTTCAGATAGACAGATATAGAGACAGATAATTAAGTCAAACGAGCGGTAGTGACCATAAGTAAAGTGCGTGAATCGTTGTGAATTATAGCGTGTGTTGAAGTTAAAGTGACTGTGGAAATTAAGTGTATTGCAAAGTTGTATTTAGAAAGAATAAACTAGTTTTATTTAAGAAAGAACTTGTATCGCTAAAGTTCCTCGGGAAGAATTTATACCGGAAATTAACAAACGACCAGAGACGTAACAATATTTACAACCTTCAATTAGGAGTCTCGTTTGGAGTAAATATAAACCACACGTGCAAAACTATTTAACAAAACCCCTCAAATTTGACGAAAAAGTTTTACGCACGCCTACGCAAAAAGTCACGTGAGCTATCGGTCGAACATTTTTACTATAGCTTTACCTAAGAGTAAAAGTGGACACTTTTGAGTTTTTGACATTCGGATTAAAGATGGCTGATTTAGAGCAACAAAACTATAAGGTGAAAGGACGTGCAGATACATAAGTATTAGTTAGGCCAAGCGAACAGGATTAGCAGTTTCTAACTCAAGTTTTCAAAAGAATCATACTGGTAGACGATTATTATTGATTATTCATTGCCAACTTTTCACTTGGTGTGGTTTGTTGGTGTGTATTGACAAAAAGTCATGATATCTAATCAAAAACATCTTATGTGTGAAAAAAAGGTGCGGCCAAAAAAGGACTGAGTGTGTGACTTAAAGCAATGAAATCAAAATTGGCGGCCAAGCTGGGAGCTACACTTATAGCATTAATAAGAATTTTACAGCAAATATTCATTCATTAGTTAGCTAGGCCTGTATTTTGTTTTATGCACCATATGTGAGGGATTGTTTTTCACACAGTTGTAGTTTAGTGGATGGGACAGCCTAGATGGACTAATAGGTCCCCTGTTGTCCCCAAATACTATGCTATGTTAGTTGGGAGAAAACGTGAAGCAGCCAAAATGTGGTTCTTAAGAAGAATGCTACGAATAACATAAGTTAAGAAAAAAGTAAAGAACAGGTATCAGTACAAGCAAACACAACACACGCAACATTATCAAGAAAATAAGAAAGAGAAAAATTGAGTTAATATGTCATGTGATGAGGAAAAAACAGGTGGAGCATATAGTAATGACCGACAAGATAGAAAAGTAGGATAATACAAATAACAAAGATGCTTGATGGACTCACAGAATTGTTATGAACTGTCTAAGAACACCAGGGACAGAGAGAAATGGAAAGTCGTGATCATAAACGCTTGTATGTAGGCATGAGATTTAAGAAGAAAACTGGTGGTGCTATCTAGTGAACAAAAATCTTAATGACACGTCAGATTTTCGAAGAAGTCCCGGATGTGCGAGTTTGTTTTTGTAAGTTAATGTTTATTAAGCGGATATGGTGTATGTTGTTACTACGCGTAAATTTTTACTTGTAAGTTAATGAAGGAAGGGTTTATCAGTGATAGTGTTATTATTGTCTGTTGTTTCGGGTAAGTTGTAAATTAATATGTCAAAATTAAGCAACCATTATTTTTGTTGGTTGAGTGATTGTATTTAAATATTACTGATTTTAAAAATATGCAAGAAACTTTTCAAAACACGAACACAGTAATTTTAAACTTAAAAGTTAAACTAAAGTTTAAACTAACAATAACATTCTCAAAACACAAAAGTGAAACATTGAAATTAAATCTTGGGACTACAAAAGCTGTAATCCCTAATGGGATATTAGTATTATTACAGTATTAATAGTATTAGCACGTAACCTACGAAGTGAGCGCTAAGTGATTAACAGTAACACTAGTAGTAATAATAATACAACTAGTAACAATAACATAACAGTTAGTAAGGCTTAGCCTTAAATATCCTTCATTAACCCTACAGCTAAAACTACAAGAGTCTCTGCCTTAGATGTATAATTCCATGAATTTACTCGAAAAAATTCATAATTATTATTTTCTATTCAAAGCAACATTGTTTTGTAATCTTACTACTATTACTAGCTGTTGCATTTTATTTTAACTGTCTTAATGCTAAAAAATCTCAGAATTTGTTGTTCTTAAATTTGATTAAATTATTTTTTTTAACTTTAAGAGAGTTGGATTAGATAGGTTTCTTTCAAACTTTAACAATAGCTTACCTTATTGCCTAGATCCCACCTATAAACTCTGTTGTACTTATTTGTTGTGTTAGTAAAAAAAATGCTAGTTTCCCCCCTCATTTTTATGTAATTGTTAATTATCATTATCCTGTTACTAAACTCGTTATGTAGAAGACCTAAATGCCATTTCCATTCACTGCTATGTATATCATATAATTTTTAGGATTTAAAGGCTTATAAAATGTACTCCTGCAAACTCTTTTTGAAGCCCAAAATTTTCCTGGAAGAGGTTCCCCAGATCCCATTGTGTAAGAGGGGACACATCCCCATTTCCCCGATATACCATCAGTGAACAGTCTTTTATATCTGCTTTAGTGATCTCCCCTCAATCAAACCCTGTTTTAATTTCTGTAATATCTTTATGATTGCTTCCATTTTTAAATTCAGTTGTTTACCAGTTGTTGAGCTCGTTTTAAATAGTATCGCAGACCAGAGTGTTCTCACAATGAGATTTTTTATAATTTCAAACCACTACAAATGTCGTCAGAATTTCTTTTTTAATTTGATACGTGTTTTAGAGTAGAAACAAGTTTTATTATGTTTCCCTTCTAGCCACGCAGCTTAATAGCGTAATGGGTAAATATTGAAATGGCTCTTGTGTTTTGTTTGCTTCCAAGGAAATATTTCTGTAAATAAGAAATGTATAATCTTTAACAATAGTAGAACCAAGTAATTACTGTGTATCTTAGTTATTTATTGAATATTTTTAATTCTTAACATATGCTGAACCCTTCATGATAGTTTAGTATCTTAATGGGGGAGAAGAATTAAGATAAGCTTAATAATTTATGTTTCTGTAGTTAAAGTTTGATTAACAACTGTACTCAATATTTAAGCTCAAATTACTATACCTACAAAACAAACAATTGAAGCATCAGTAGACAAGAAATAATAGGTTATGATGAAATAGTTTTAAATTTCAAATTTATTGCTAAGGAAATATGGATTTTTTTTTTGTGAAGTACCCCATATTATATAGAATGTACACAAAAGCACATAGCTTTTTTATAACAATCGTATGTTTTCTAACTATTTTATAACCATAAGTTGCGTGACACGAGGGGAATTAATAGTAGATTTAATTAAGCTGTTAGCGAGAAGAATTATTATACAATACTGGATAGCCACCCTCATTAGACCACTTTGAAGTTATAACATCTGTTTGGATGTTACTGATGATGATGATGCACGAGCTACCTAATAACCCCTGAAATGTGCTAGCATAGACACAAAGTTGGAAATAACAGTTTACAAAAACTGCTGATAAATGTTTTATTAATTTTCCTGCAATGTGTGACATAAACTCTATCATAGTGCTGATTAGAATGTACACAGTCAACAACATTGTTGCTGATATAGTCAGTATTTCAGTGATACTACACTGTACGAATCTACATATACAGTACGTGTTAGTGTTTATAAAAATCAACTTTTATAACTCTGTCCAAAAAAAAAAGCCTTAATTTTCTCAGAATACTTGTGCATATTTAATTTCCTTTCCTTTCTGATTTGTGAAGAATAACTTTTACTTGGAGAATTTGCTTAAATTATGTACATAAGATAACTCAAAAGAGATGCAAATTGATTTTTACTTTTTATGTAAAATGAGTAATGTAATATGAGTGACAGTTTACAATAATAGTGTATTTACATAACTTTTACATAAAGTCAGACAAGTGTAATTCAGTTTCCGTAGGGGAGGGGGGCAACCACCAGTACGTTATTAGTATCTTGATAAAAATAACTTTGTTAAAGTTTGTAGTGAATAAAATTTTGGTGTTTGGAAAACCTTAAACAATATTTGTGTATTGCAAATGTTTAATATTAAAGATATTTAAATATGTTATAACTTCATTTTCAAGTACATGGGAAGAACGGAGGTGTAATCTTTTTTTATGTTGCTCACAGCAACCTGGGAACTTTGGGTAATCTTGTCTTCAGTGTGTGAAGTTGACGTTACTGAAAACGATGGCCGATGGAGGGTTTGATCCTTGTGAGTGTGTGTGGAGTCACGAGCATGCAATGCAACGATTAATCTCCCTAGTAGGTTTTATTTATTTATATATATTTAGGTTTTGATGTAATGGCTAGGATATAACTTATGAAGCCTTTAAAGTTGAAAATTTTGTTGTGTTAGGGCTTGAAATTATTTTGGACACTGACAGTTACTTTGAAAACTTAAAAAGAAAGTCACATATTTTGTTCTCTCAGAGGATATAACCAGTCAGCTGATGTGATTTTCCAGCAAATGTCTTGTCTTCAATTTCACTTTTTTTTAAATGTTTTATTAAATTTTACATCTACATTTTCAATAATGACTACTTAACCTAATATGAAATGAAAAAAAAATGGAAACGCTATTTGAATGCACTGATTTTTACTCCTTTTTTTAAATTGGGGGAGTCCCATTTTTTCAGTTTGTCAGAATGATGTGCTGGTTATCAATTGATTATCTTAGTGATGTTTTCCCCAAAACAATTGTGCTTGGTTAGATTTTGTTTTTATGTCTTCACAGACAGACATACTGTTGTTTCTTCTTCTTCCGAACACTTTTCAATCAACTTCTGTTCTATCATTTCTGGGGAGACTGACTTCAAACTTTGTCAAATACACCCAGACACAGTTTTAATTTTTTTTTTATTTGGTTTATTTGAAGGATTTTGTGGGGTCAAAGGTCAAACAACCACAAAATATATATATTTTGGGCTCCTGTACAGTCAAATATACAGCAATCAAGATGAAAATTGGTACAAACATAAATATTCATTCACCCAATATATTGATATACAATAGATTTGCCCATTCTGAGTCTTTTCTTTTTCTTTGGGTGCATGAGGGGGGTCATTTCTCACAAAAAAGCATAATTTTCGGGTGTTTTTTTTTCAATTACTCAGCTATATTTTGACCAATTTGCATGGGATGCAGTACAAAAGATACTTTTATATAGGTTCCACACATTGACAAACAAAATTGGAGGACTTGCCCATTTTGGGGTCAGTAGGTTAAATAGACCCATAATCTTAGAGGTTTTGGTCAGTTATTATTTAGTCTTGTTTTGACCATCATACTTGGGATTTGGTACAAAGATACTTTTCTACAGGCAACACACTTTGACAAAGAAAAACGTTGGACTTGTCTATTTTTAGTAATTATAGATTTTGACCATTTTTTACAGTTTTTTTTTAACTTTCATAATCATTCTTGGATAATCAACTGGCAGGAAAACTGTTTTTATTCTTTGATGGCACTGGCTGAACACTAGTACCTCGTGTTTCTCCATTACTAATATACCAAGTAGATGAATGAGCGTGGCGGTTTTTGTTATATGTTTACCAACCTATTTTGATAATTTATTTCGAATTACAGGTATCAATATTAATTTCTGATCAGAGCAAGCTACCTACTTAGATAAAAACGAAAAATCAACCCGGTAACGCGTACAGCTAATTAAATGTACTTGTATTTTTACTTAGAATGCATTGTTTCCTCGGTTGGGTACCCTTGTTGTTAATGGTATTTTTTGCTCATTAACTCAAAAGTATTCCGTACTAAAAATACGTGTTAAGTTAGAACAAGATCTGTAAAATATATTTATAATTTTTTTTTGTAATATGACTGTCTTATTTTTATAATTTGAAGAATGTGAGTTGAATTTAGAGCTGGGGGGCGGAAATCTACGATTCTAGATCAGATAAAGATTGTGAAAGTGATCAAATTCTCTCGGAGCTATAATTGTTGTTTGTCAGTTTGTATTTTAATTTACTGTATGTTTTATACAAGTTAAGGTGAAGGACTTCTAGATGTGTGTGTGTGCGTGCATGAATAAATGTTTGCTTTTAGATACTAGCAGTGGACAAGTACAAGTTTAATTTTTTCCTCAGCTTCGCAATTCTCAAGGGTACTGCACAGACTCTGAATGTTTTCCAGAAAGTAAGTAAATTACTTTATAACTTGTTAAGAACAACGTGTGTCAGTTATTGTGGCTTGAACAGTATTAAACATTTAATATCCATAAAGGAATAATACCAAATTTATTTGGATACTAGTTTCAACATTTCATATCTTCTTCAGTCCAGTGTTACATTTTCTATTCGTTTACTATACTAGATGGTATGGTGTATATACCTGTTATTTAGTGTCAAGCTTAAGAACACTTTCAAATTTCATATTTATTCCACAACAACAACAACAAAAAATACATTTAGAAATTAATAGAGACAATATTCCATGGCTTATATATTTATTAACTTGGCAGCACCTGGACCACAGGGGGTGCCATCTACTGGTAGTGAATTCTACTTTATGCTTTTTCTCTTGGGTTGGCTCTTGATAGCAGTAGTGTTGTATTTTCTTCGACCAAATTCTTTACGGGGACGTACAACTACAAAACCTTCGGATCAGGTATGCGAGGATCTTTATAATGTTTTTGTTGTAATTATTAATTATATGTATAATTTATTGAAATACTCTTTTAGCAATCTCTTTTACAGTACATCAGTGAACATTCTTAATTATTTATAGTGTCCACAAAGTTTGATCCAGAAGGACTAATTAAATTACACATTTAAGTCTGTAAGATCCTGTTATTTATACTGTCCACAAAGTTTGATCCTGAAGGACTAATTAAATTATACATTTAAGTCTGTAAGATCCTGTTATTTATAGTGTCCACAAAGTTTGATCCAGAAGGACTAATTAAATTACACATTTAAGTCTGTAAGATCCTGTTATTTATAGTGTCCACAAAGTTTGATCCAGAAGGACTAATTAAATTATACATTTAAGTCTGTAAGATCCTGTTATTTATAGTGTCCACAAAGTTTGATCCAGAAGGACTAATTAAATTACACATTT